GTATTTGTTGTTGTTAATTTAACACCGCTCACAGTAAGTAGGAGCAGTGACAGTAAGGTGTGTTGATGATCATTTAACATTTTGATTACGTAGCTATTGGAACATTGTCAACTGAAGTCAAATGGCTAAGTCTTTTTTTCTTTTCAGTAAAAACCTGCTAAAAATGCAGCATGCAGTCTTTTCTCTGTGGTTCAATCTATCAACATGCTGTGCCTGATCACAATTCAAAGACCAAACCAGAAAGAGTGTGGACAGCATAGGAGAACGTAGCTCACTGATACACCCATTCACCCATACCAGACATTTCAGCACACACACGCACAGTCGCAGATTCCATCTACCATCACCACCATCATGTCAGATGACACTGCTAGATGACCTTTAGGCACGCTGATCCTTTATATAAAAGGTATTTGTGTCGCTCTGTGGTGTTGGACAGAGTACCAGCAGGATTAAATCAGCCTTGCAGAGAAAATACTTTGATCAGCTCTCTCCGTTCTTCTCCAAAACGTCATGCTGACTTACACATCCCCAGATGAAATAGCTCTTTGTTTCCCTTCCACCTGCCCACTGGTCCAAGTCGGTGTAATAATTAGTGGGCAAAGGACTAAGGTGATGCAGCTTATCTCTGCTGACGGAGAAGGGTTGAGTGTTGGTGCTTTTTCATTCCTTTTGGTGTCTCATTGTTAGTGACCCAGAAAAAAGGTGGTGTGACTGGAAGTACATTTCTCTCCAGCACTCCCAACTCCGCAAAACTTCACTGCTTGACTTTTATACTGTAGTAAATCAGGACTGGGAGTCCAAAACCTTGAGTCTGTGTACAATTTACACTGACCTACAGGTACCGTATTAACGTAGAGTTCCAAGGTAACTTAAATCAATCAATCAATCAATCAATGTTTATTTATATAGCCCAATATCACAAATGTTACATTTGTCTCAGTGGACTTCACAGTTTGTACAGAATATCAGTATGACAATACGACACCCTCTGTCCTTAGACCCTTACATCGTACAAGGAAAAACTTCCGGAGAAAACCCACAGTTTAAAGGGGAACATGGGAGAAACCTCAGGGAGAGCAACAGAGGAGGGATCCCTCTCCCAGGACGGACAGACGTGCAATAGATGCCGTGTGTAAATCAAAAAGATAATACATTTACAGCATAGGTAGTCCAAATGTTTGGAAATGCATGTGTCTATAATAAGAAGATGAATCCACGAGGATGTCAACAATCCTGTGGGAGCCATCAGGGAAGTAGTATGATGAAAGTCAGGCAGGACCACAGTGACAGGTTCAGCCACGACTCGAAGTCCAGGACTCAGATCAGGTCTCAGGATCAACCACGACTCAGGATCCCGGCTTATATAGACACCAAAAAGAAATTTGGGGGAAGCTGGGTTATTCGGAACATGAGTACACAGGTACAGACAGACAGAAAGACGAAGTAAGGTGTCCCCCGACAGTCTAAGCCTATAGCAGCAAAACTAGGGGCTGAATCTAATCAGCCCTACTGTAACTATAAGCTTTATCAAAAAGGAAGGTCTTAAGCGCACTCTTAAAAACGGATAGGGTGTCTGCCGCCCGAACACAAACTGGAAGCTGATTCCACAAATGTGGAGCTTGATAAGAAAAGGCTCTGGCTCCCATTGTACTTTTAGAGACTCTAGGAACAACCAACAACCTTGCATTCTTGGAACGCAATGCCCTAGTAGGACAGTAGGGTATAATGAGTTCTTTAAGGTAAGATGGCGCCTGCCCATTAAGGGCTTTGTAGGCGAGAAGAAGAATTTTAAATGATATCCTATGTTCTATAGCCGTGTTTCTCAAACCTTTTCATTCCAAAGACCACTTAACCAATAAAAAAACACTCGCGGACCACCTAACTCCACAAATATCAAAAAACACATCGTTTTTCTAGAACGGATTACAAATCGCCTGAAAATGGTACAAACATATGGCAACATGGGTAATGAAGGTGTTGCGCTGGGAAACTTAACCTCGCTCCATTGCGGAGATATTCCCGCGAGAGTGCGGAAAACTGAAATTTATTTATTTATTTCAAATGTGAAATGTTACCAATATACTCACGGACCACTAGGGGTCGCTCATGGACCACCAGTGGTCCGCGGACCACACTTTGAGAAGCACTGTGGGAGCCAGTGTAAGGCAGCCAGAACAGGAGTAATGTGGTCCCTTTTCCTAACTCTGGTTAGTACACGAGCCGCAGCATGTTGAATCAGCTGAAGCGACTTGACTGACTTCTTGGTACACCCTGATAATAAGGAGTTACAATAATCCAGCCTTGAAGTAACAAATGCATGGACTAGTTTCTCTGCATCGTTTTGAGGCAAGATATGCCTGATTTTTGCAATGTTACGTAGATGAAAGAAGGCGGTCCTTCGAATTGATTTTATGTGGGCGTTAAAGGATAAATCCTGATCAAATATAACACCAAGATTCCTTACAGTCTCACTGGAGGCCAAATTAATGCCATCCATAGTTAGTATATCTTTAGATAGTTTGTTTCGTAGAGTCTTTGGGCCGAGTACAATAACTTCAACAAAAAAAATTGAAGGTCATCCACGTTTTTAAGTCCTTGAAGTAGTCTTGAATTTTATATTATATTGGTTTCAGGCTTGATGGATAAATATAACTTTGGTTTGCGTGGAAGATTCATCGTTGACACACACAAACTGAGAGCGTTCAGATAGATAGGACCTAAACCAGCCTAAAGCAGTTCCGTTTATGCCAACTAAGTGCTCTAGTCTTTGCAATAGGATATCATCGTCGATAGTATCAAATGCAGCACTGAGATCGAGCAAAACAAGAATAGAGACATGTCCTTTGTCTGAGGCTATGAGAAGGTCATTTGTGACTTTAACCAGAGCTGTCTCTGTGCTATGATGTGTTCTCGCTTACACTTATTGTGCCGCATTTGTGCTTCAGATGAGGAGGTGAGGCCCCCCTTATACACTTTTTTTAGTATAATTGTATAAATTGGAAGGCTAATTAGGTAATCAGCTCGCCGGTGATTTGCAGCTGGCGCGGTTGACCGTGCATACGTGGTGAACTGCGTGTTATAAAATATGAGATTTCATGCTGGCTTACCTGTATGTCAATCAAGTGGCAAATGCCGGATGGATGATAGGCTAACTTTTTAAAAAACTTTTTTAACATTTCAATGCCATGCGATCTACCCACACTACCTTCGACGTATTGGGCACCCCTGGTTTAGAGGAAAGAATCATTGAATTCAATTGTTCAAGATTAATGGCTGAAAAGCATTCTAGTTTACTATCTAGTGTAATATTATAACTTACGTTTCCGGGAGCTGTTGATAACACTATACTGGTCAAAGGCAAGAGGTCATTAATTTTGTTTCTAAGAGTAACAATTTTATCATTAAAAAAGCACATAAAATCATTACTACTGAGTGCTATGGGAATAGAAGGCTCAATAGAGCTGTGGCTTTCTGTCAGCCTGGCTACAGTGCTGAAAATAAATCTTGCATTATTCTTATTCTCATCTATTAATGAAGAGTAGTAGGCTGCTCTCGCTTTAAAAAAGCCTTGCAGAGAGTCATTACTGTCTTTTGCTATCTTCTACAAGCTTTCAGTCCAGAGAATTCCACTAAGTTCTCAAGTCCGCCTGCATTATAATGATGAGGTGAAGATGGAGGTGATCTTGTCAAGTGTGGTCAAAGATTCAAATTTCCTGAGCAACCGGTTGACTTGATTGTGTGATGTTGTTGAAGTGTAAGACACTGGACTCTTAAGGCTCGGCTCTAAAAATGCATTATCCAATAATCCAGCTTTTTATTTTAATAACCTGACATATGTTTTAAATATGTATATGATAGTCTGCATTTAATCAGTAATATAAAAATGACCCTCTTGTCATATCATAGTTTCATATCATGTATTTTTGTCAGCAGAATTAACTCTTCACAAGACTTTTTCTTTTTTTTTCTAGAGGGAGCTGGGAATAATTTAAGTAGAGCGGAAGCAGAGTGAACCAACAGCTTATATATGAACATTTTCTACTGATTGTTCTTGGGAACCTTCTCACTGTTGGCACTTGCCTGTACTGAGCAACCACCAACACCCACAGAGCTCCAGAGAGCTGTAGATCAGAGCAGGAGAGTGGGTGTCATCAGATCTGTGCACCGGAGCAACAACAACAACAACACCATCACCCTAGAAATGTTCCTGACCCAAAGTATATTTTGGTTGTTTCATAAATTAATCTGCTGTATAACTACAAGGGATATTTGCTAACGTAAACCCTCGGTTGGGTAAACACATTCTGACAATCCTCGCTTAAAAGTATTGTTGAGTAAAAACCCTATTGTTTTCGTTTCGCATTTAATATCCCTGACCACTTCTGTATTATCATTCATCCATTTGTTAGCAAATAGCCAAACCCTTTCCAAATCTGTTGAACCATTAAACAAGCCCTTCGGTTACACCATGCTGACTCCTTCCTTGTCTCACACTTGTGAATGTATTAATCTGTGTTTTCCGATAGGGCAAAGCTCATTATTTTCAGTTTGTATAGAAAACATTAAATCGGTAATCTGTTTATTTTGAGTATTAAAGAAAGATATATTAAAACCACTCTTTGTTATGCATGTTGTACTTTTGCATTCATTAAAATTGTCTCACATATTTTTCTTGGATACATTTTTAATCTCTACTTTTTTTTTAGAAAGAGGGAGATAGAGGGGAGGACATTTCCTGATTATCCGCGGGTTTGGGAGTCGAACACGCTTACTTGGCAGCGGACACCTCTTATGCATACAACATTTGATTTTTGGGGGGAAATGCCATTTGTAGTGGTCATTGTCGTCTTGCAGCAGGAAATACGGCAGCGATTTGGTCCAGAGGATGTCAAATCTGTAAAAATGTGTTAATGAATAACCTGTTAACAATGACCCAAAGAGTATAACCTGTCGACACATTTTACAAAACTAAACGACATCATACTGTTTCTCCACAGGTACGCCATCATGTGTGGAATAATGGCAGAATATGACACAGTGCAGAACAAAATAAAGAACGGATACATCTTTAAGGTAAGTTCAATTTATATGTTGTCTCTGGAAGTGTTCTGAAACTAAATAAATACTTGCACTATTATTTGTATACTTTTTTCATATACAGTGACAGTGTATGTTGTATATAGTTTCTCCTATGTAGCGGGGAATGGCTTCTCATATAACTTAAGCCTGTAAGCCACTCCTACAGCCTTTGGTTTGCATAAGCTGGAGTGTGGAGTAACAGCACGTAGCATTTTATCTTCTGTCAGCAGCCTTCACCCTTCACAAACACTGTGTACCTGCAAAGCAGGTGAAAGAGAAAGCCATAGAAGAGGAGAGGGAAGATATGAAAGAGGGGAGAAAAAAAAGCCTGAATCACAGAGAAGAAGAATGGAGTGTGTGGTCGCTCTGCGAGATCGCGTGTGTGAGAGGTGTTTATGAAATACTTGTGGGTTGGTGAAGCAGGACAGATCAGGCCAGAACAGAAGGCAGTGGAAAAAGCAGCCGTGTCATGAATCAACAGTGAAAATCTTCTGTCTGTCTGTGTGCCTCCCCTCCCAGGATCATCTGGATAAAGCCATTGAGCTGAAGCCACAAGACCCCTTGTCCTACTACCTGCTGGGCCGCTGGTGCTACGCTGTATGTGACCCCCCCCCACCCCGACACACGCATATCTTTCACATCACTTCTCACATACACAAACAGTGGATTTATGGAGGCTGCGTGCCACTCTCCTCCCTCTGCTAAGCCACACATCATTTCCCCTCATTCTTTCCTTCTGTTTAGGTTTCCCTGATGGGTTGTTATTCTCTCGGGGATATTCATAGAAATCTGCACCAGCCATTGTTAGCATAAAATCAAAATCTGATATCTTATATGCATTCTGCTTATGTGCTTTAAGGGCTGAAACTATATTAGATCATATCACCAAAAAAAGGTTGTTTTTGTTCATTTTTGGTATATTGTGAAATCACTATTTCTGACTGTAAGCTTTTATTTATTTTTGTTTTAATTGGCATCCCATTAATAACAAGAAAAGCCTAAATGTATCATAGGGTCTGCAAAAAGTACACATTCAATTGTTAATTGAAAACACAATTTAAAATTCACACAAAGGCAAAACAGGAAACTATAAAAGATTCAAATGATCACAGTAAAACTGCAAATCACGATAACAATGAAAGCAAGGAAACTATATCTAAATAGTCAGTCAAGCATTTGATACAGCTTAAAGATAATAGCAGTACGCTTAACAACAGCAGTATATCCTATTTGAAGAGGGCCTTTGTGCCTTCAGGTTTGTCTTTGATCTCTTTTTAAAAACATATTAACTTGTTATACAGTAATTGTTATGGCAAACCATTGCATATCTCCATTCCTCTGAACATGACTGTACACGACATTAGTTTCTGAAACAGGAAGTGAAAAACAACCAGTTATGGCGATTACTAATATATGAAAATTGTTGGTGAAATGTATGGTATAGGACATTCATGAGCTATTTATCATGAAACTCAGTACCGGTTTTTAAAGTAACTGCCAGAAAGGAAGTAAGATATTACAGGGATGGCTCTGATGAAGTTATATCAAACTAATCTACACTGTTGAAGCCAGAGGAGTGAGGTACTGTGCCGATTTAGTGGAGCTATAACACCTGATATGTTCAGTTTATGGGCTGTCTCTGGTGCTCAACAATGATCTACTGTTTGTCATCAGCCAGCGGTTCTGTTTGAAAGGTCCTGTGATGCCAAAGCAACGCTACACCGGCAATTAGTAGGAGATTTAGTACGAGGCAGGAACATTACATGTCTGACCCCGTCTTACTACTGGCCATTTATATCTTCTGTGAAATTTGTCAGAAGAAAACAATGGTGTATAGAAGAAGAATTGGATGAAACCCTCTTTATTTTCATCATACATACACGCACACAGTACAGCACAGCGGAATTGGACCTTTTAATTGAACCCATCCTACCATCCCAGATTACCTCTTGGGCCCTGGTGCCGAAAACCTGCCCTTGAGCAAGGCACCGGACACTAAAAAAAACACAAAGCCGACAACCTTTTCAACAGTTGGGGTACATAGTCCCACAACGTTACCCACTGTGTTCTGGACATTCAAGAGATTACTTGAACCAAATGGAGAAAAACCCCCAAAAAGGTGTCCTGTTTACTGAATGTCAACCTTACTGCGATCAAAACTTTGCCGTTCCCCAGACATCTGTCAAATCTGGACCCGGGCTCCTGGCCAGGGTGTCCGTCTTCTGAGATAAAGTTAAAGTAGCATGATGTGAACTCGGCTCCTCTGTCTCCTCCTTGTTAAGAAAGTCCATTGCCTCTCGAGGATCCGTGAACTTCATTATTTTCCTCCTCCATGTAAAGCACATCTCAGACGTCTACGCGAGGGTAAAACGTACATCCAGATTGTGCAGCCGGCTTCTTACATCAGTAAACTATCTCTTCTTCTCTGCCGTCTCTTTAGTCATGTCGGGGGGAAATGACAACTTGCAGCTTCCCTAGATTATACCCTCCTTGTTTCTATATGCCTCCCTTGCGGTGGCCAACTCCCAATCCCGCTCGAGAAACCTAATGATGATTGGCCTGGGTGGCCGGCTTTCTTCAGGCATTGGTATTGGGGCTCGGTGCACCTGTTCCGTCCATTTCAATTGTTTCGATTGTTTTTTCTGCCAATATACTGCTCTGTACTCCAGTGCTAATGCACCAACACATTGTTTGCCGACATCCTATAAAACATTTTTGAAATGGACTGTCTTTCATAGTGTTCATCAAATGTGGGCTATGCACACACACAATGGGGTTTTACATTGATTGAATTCATAACATTTCAATGTCATGGCAGCTTTTGCACTCATGATGCATAGAGAGTACTGCTTGCAAACACGCTCATAGACTCAAGAAGCGATGGCATTTAGCCACTCGAACAGGCACTTGACTACTTTAAATGAACTTGCGTGTCAACGAAGTTGATTGTAGAATGTTCCCTTCATGTAATTGAAAAGTTGTAATTTTAAAATGAAAGGCTAATGAAGTTATTGAGAAATTGAATCAAGGGAAGTGTGTTTGTAGTGTCTTAATAGTTAATTAAACATCACCTGGAAATCTTGTTCTGGCTCCATTGGCTTTTAAGTGCTGTGCTGGTGTTCTGTTCGCTGGGATCACTGTCACAGCCCTGCTGGGTGTGGTGACAGGTGCATCAGAACAGCCAACCCCACCCAGCAAGTGGAACAGGTAGAGCATTCAATTTGACATTGTGATGTAAAAGAACACACTTTTCAAATCAACTAAAGAAAAAAGGTTTGTTTTTTCAACGCTAACCTGTAACCATGTAACCAACCAGGTCAGAAACTCCTCAATGTGCATCAACCTGATATTTTCATTATTACAATCTCGATCTTTGAGTTTTATTGATTCAAAATCATATTTTGTTATCGCGTAATTGACTTTCAAAATGACAGACACGGATTTCCTCATTTATGTTCTCCTCTTAACATTTTAAACCATATAAGTATCCTTGTATGTTAAATATAATGATGGGATGATTAAGTTATGTTATGATGATTATATTAAATGTTTGCAATATGAATATTGTACTGTGATTAAAAGTCAATAGAGTTCAATAGCTAAATAATAATATAACATATATATATTGACTATATCCAATGTTGATTTGCACATTTGATATATAATACTATAACAAAATAATCGCGATCAGATCATTTCCCCATATTTTATACTTTTTTAACTAGGGAAAAGTTTGACACTGCTATTTGGCGTTGTATCAAGTTTCTCTGAATCTAATGTGCAGAATTGTATTTGAACTTGTGGTGTTGTCTTGCAGGTGGCTCAGTTGTCGTGGATTGAGAGGAAAGTTGCTGCTACGTTATTTGGAGACCCTCCAAGTGCCACAGTGGAAGATGCACTGAATAACTTTCTTAAGGTACAGTGACACATTCCCAACACTCTCCTCCTAACATACATTGTATTAGAAATACTACATATATATATATATATATATTGGTATATTGGTTAGCCGGCCGGGGCTTTAGGGCAGGCTGTGTGTGCGTCATTCTAACTGACCAATGGTAATGTTTACATGGATTTATGAACTGCCCCTCGATTCTATTGGCTGTAACGGTTACAAAGAGATGTAAATCGCCCAATTTGACCAATGGGTTCCAGAGATATGGCCATACGTAATGCAGGTCTGACCGCCAGCTGGCGTACCATTACGCATGTGGCCAAAAGGGTATAGAGGTCATGGTGCCAAAAAGGTCAAAAACAGTTGTATTTGGATGGAATGAATACCTATAGTGATATTTCAATGAAATAAAAGGAGTTTTACAATGTGGTACCTGAGAAAGGTCAAATGGCACTGATGGTAACCAAATATACCCAAAGGTGAGTCCGCCTGGACCTGCCTGTGCTAAAACTCTCTAAAAAATGTCAAGTTTCACAAAATTAGCATCTATCCCGACACAGGGTACTTATGATATATTGTGGTTTGGATCCCTAAAGGTTCTTGGCTACTATTCCATCATTCAAGAGTGGTTTTCACTATAAATAATGTGGTTATTTTTGGCGGAGATTAGAATTTTTTTTTTTTACTATGTTCAATCTGAATTTACTTTAAAATAAAATCATCTATATTTGATTCTGACACTTCTACATCCAACTCACAGGTGTATCATTGCTTTGAGAAAAAATATTATTCACATACCCCTTTTAGTTGTGAAGATATACATTTTCGAGCCTGAGGCCTGAAAAATAGGCCCAGGGCTTAAGATAAATGCTAACCCATTCCCGGGTTATAGGACTCATTCCTACTCTACTTGTTACGGACTGATAGTCTAATTTCCCCTTGATTCGATTTGCATTCAGTTGGAATGACTGCATGGTCCCACCTGAGGCGCACTGGGCCCTGTTTGTTTAGAGTTCTCTTGAAACTTGCCTCAGGGTCTCTCCTGTACCAGGACCCAAACGCTCCTTGTTTAGAAAGCTTAATCTGTCTTCCAATATTTCAGATGTTTATATAGTGGAGAAATGGATTTTGTTTCTGGCCAAGATTCTTGTTCAGGCCTTTTCCTCATATCGTCTTGTGTGTCTCAGCCATCAATTTAAGTGGTCCCCGTTACAACATGCTGCCTGTGACCGGGGGGGGGGGGTAGGCTCAGGTTAGGCTGTCGAGCTCTAACAAATACATCCTGTAAGCCATAACCTGTGGTTATCTGTAGCTGACTAACTGTAGGAGGGCTGTTGACAGGAGAGAGAGGCAGGGGAAGGAGTGGAGCAGTGTGTTGTTGTTCTGTAGGTTGTTCTTGTAGAACTGCTGACTAGGCATGGGTCAAATCTAGTGTCTCATTTGAATCCTGGTCATTGAACTCTGCATCTAGTCCAGTTAAAATGAACATAAACAAGTAAAGGATTGTGTTATTACGTCATCAGACAGTATAGTGATGATTGAAGGGGAGATCTACAATTATGTTTTCCTTCACCAATATTAAGTATTTCAAAATGATCATATTGCTTCCGCTAAAAACAATACGTTTTCTTTTGAAAAAAGCCTTTGATTAAACTCTTTTTTTCTTTCTATTACGCCTCTTGTAGCACTTTGGGATTGCTTTTAGCAATGAAAGGTGCTTTAAAAATCAAATGTATTATTATGATTATGAAGTCAACCAATCCAAATCGAGTATCCAACAAAGCCGTGCAATTATTGTCTTTAATAACTGAAAGAAAACCATACAATGTTTTGATTCAGGTTGAAAACATCCAGCCAGGATATTCCAAAGTGAACTACGTGTTTCTAACTAAGGTCAGTACCAGAAGCTTGGAGATGAATGTTTCATTGTCTTGTTTTGAGACTACACTGAGACTAAACCATGTGTTTCTTTTCTTTGACAGTGCTACAAAGACCTGGGTCAGAGAGAAAAGGCCAGGAAGATGTGTGAAGCTGCGTGTTCCATGGATGCTGTGTCGAAAGAGGTACACACTTGAATCATGTATAAAGGGTCCAGGGTTGGATGGGGTACTTGTTTTTTAAAAGTTTGGTCTATTACTGTTTTCTGACTTATTCTATACATTTGATTTATTTTGTATTCTTTAGAGATACTCCATAGACATACAGTATATCTTCCTACTGTTTATATGTATATAATATTAATTTAAATTCTTTGTTTTATTACATTTGAACTCATGTGCAATGCTTTGTTAACATGCCACAATTTGGGTGTTGGATCAATTAACTATTTGTAATATAATCTCAACTTCATCATTATTTTGAAAGTCTATTTATGTCCATCTCACAGTCTGCAAGATAATAAACTGTTTAAGATGTTATTGTTATATTGATCATATTTCTATCCCTCAGGATGAAGATTCCCAGAAGGAGCTGGACGCGCTCCGCCCCGCGCTCGGGGTGTGACCACAGTGTGTGTGTGTGTGTGTGTGTGTGTGTGTGTGTGTGTGTGTGTGTGTGTGTGTGTGTGTGTGTGTGTGTGTGTGTGTGTGTGTGTGTGTGTGTGTGTGTGTGTGTGTGTGTGTGTGTGTGTGTGTGTGTGTGTGTGTGTGTGTGTGTGTGTGTGTGTGTGTGTGTGTGTGTGTGTGTGTGTGTGTGTGTGTGTGTGTGTGTGTGTGTGTGTGTGTGTGTGTGTGTGTGTGTGTGTGTGTGTGTGTGTGTGTGTGTGTGTGTGTGTGTGTGTGTGTGTGTGTGTGTGTGTGTGTGTGTGTGTGTGTGTATATTGAAAGAGGCCATCCTGTTAATTCACTCTGTGAGTGGCGGGCAATCATCAATGGGAACCGTCCTGTAGATTTTTAAATCCAAGTCTGTACACTTTGTAACGCATTACAATGTGCTTATAGTGCGGGATGATTCGAGTTCAAAGCACTCATAAATAATCATTTTGCTTTCAATCATAACACATTATAAAGCATTTTATAATGACTTAATAATATATACTTCATAATTTCAGATCTATTTTTTGTATTTGTTGCAAGTATGGTAGTGTATTATATGTCCCATAACTTCAGAAGGTTATTATATATATATTATAATCACTTTCAAAGTAGTCATTGTTTGCTTTCAGTAAAGAAACATCAATCATTCTATGCAAGGACACAATACTTTAAATTATATTTTACTTGATTAAAACAAACAATGACCACTTAGAGTAAATTATTATAATACATTCAAACCAAAACACTGATTTTAATAATTGATTGCAACTAAGGGAACTTGCTCGATAATGTGTTATGATTACTGGCATTATAAATATTTACGAGTGCTTGTAGCGATAATTATTTGGAGATTATTCTGCTTTATAAGTGTTTATAAAGTAATATAGACTTCATAGAAAGTGTTACCAAGATTTTGATTCTAATCTTTTATTATTTTTTAATAGTGGAAAAGGAGGAACTCTCACTTGGTTGTACTAAATCAGTGAGACAAAAGCTTTTCCATAGCTCGGATAATCAATCCGTGTTTTAAAGTACATTTGATTCATTAGCATTGTATCAGAAATGGGTTTAATCACACGTGTAGTGAAGTCTGTGATTGTGGGTGTATAAATATATATTCAGTGGGTCTGTGAGTACAGCAGCTGTAGCTCAAGGTTACTAAGTTTCCTTGGCAACAAAGACCTGTTGCTTTTTAGGAAGTGACAAGAGGGACTCGCTGTTCCTTCCTGTTCTGTCTTGTTTTGTTTGTTGTGTCTCCCACCTCGCATTCAAGAGGCAATAACAAAAGCACCTCAGACAATGGCGCACCCAAAGAAAGATGTTGGAATGCTGTGACCCCTGGACGACCCCTGGACGACCTCTCCCCTCTGCCGTCACTCACACCAGTGTGACTGCAGGAACACTGCACAGTGATTCTATCCATCAGTCTGCACAGGGTTATGTTCTTTATTTGTTTACTTTGGCATCTGGTCATAGAATACATGTATTATTCAGATACCACCTGATACTCAGCTCTAATAGAGTGGTGCAGAAATGAGTCCGTGTTTTTGGTTAAATGCCTCGGATGAAAGATTTCGGTCCATGTCTAGATCTTCCTTTGGTTTGATTTGGACCAAAACGTAACTCTGTCTTGGCGCCAGTTGTCCTGCTTAGGATTGATTTGGTTAATTATCTTCTGCCCTAAAAGGAATGAGTCGCAAAACTCAGGAATGAGTTAGCATTTCCCCTGCCTCTAATTCAATGGTCTGTGGTTAACACAAGCTGAAAAGATGTTCACGTTTGGTTCTACGACATTAAATATGTCAGTAAATACCCCTCATGTGAATGTCCGAAAGCTTCTGTGTTTCTTAAAAACAGGAGTTGCTAACAAGTGAGAGTACTAAACATCACACTGTGATTTGTTTATAGCGGCTAGCATACGGTGATCTAATTACTTCTGGTGATTTCATTTACACTACAAAAAAAGTGGTGTTAATATGTGGAGATTATCCTGCTGAACAAAACCGCTTAGTATCATAAATGTGTGTTTGCCACAGACTTTATTTTCGCAAAATACTAAATGCCAATGGAATAATCCCATTAGCTTTTGGTCGAGCCTCTTTGCGATGCTAACATCGGGGTCGTCCTACAAAAGACGTCATCACTGCACCGCTCTAATTCAGTCTCACATAACAGCAGGTATTCAATGGACCAGATACTCTCTAAGACAGTGTTGTTTTAATGTTAAGATCTGGGTCTTTTTACCTCACTGCATACTTTGACCTGGGCCTCTCTGTAGGACTCTTCACAGGAGAACATGGGTTTTAGTTGATCCATGACATTTGATATTTACAATTTGAGGCTAATCGCCAGATGTCCTCAGAAGGAATTAGAAAAAGAAAACACTGATTTCACGATTTCTTCTGTAAATTAAAGGTTCATTACAGAATCTCTTTTATAACTCAAGTTTTATAAAGCATCCGTACAGGAGAAGGGGACAACCCCTCCCTTTTCCATCCAGACTCCAGTTTATCTTTCTGGGGGGGCTTGCTGAATCCTTTGATTTGTTTCTCTGTGTTACAAGAATAATAGACCGATTGCTCTGTATTGGACCTCTAATGAGCCTATCAGAGGACATGATGTGATGTGCATACTGTGAACTGCATTCCAGACGTCATTTGAATGATTTCACACTTGTGATACGTGTGATGCATTTTGATTGAGGTTTACTCTTGAGACTCTAGAATTTAAATTGTGTTACTTGAATTGTGAAAATGACCTAAAATAATTATTTTTGTCTGTCATGTTTTTTTTCTACCAGCGCTACGAATGTAGGCGATTGATTTTCTTCAAATGCCAAAGCAAGTAGACTTATTGGGAGATATAAACACTACATAGAGATTATACTGCAGTGTCTGAATGATCAATGGTTCTGTTCTCTCTAATTAAATCTGTGCAATCCTGATTGGAGGTGTCAGTTTGTCACTCGTTTGTGTGCTGGTTACTTTTATTGCACATCAGAAACACCCAGTGGCAAATATTTGGAACTTATGACTCAAATGTTCAGTGATCCCTTGGCCGTGAACTATATTGGTACTAATCCAAAAACAGATTCAACAAGCCGGCTCCTGTATAACTATTAATGATGTGGAGCTCTTCCCTTTCCCCAGACTGTACATTTTGTGGGTGAATCTGTTACTGGATCAGATTTAGGCCACCTGTCTAGTCATGTTTCAGCCTTTCTCCCTCCATGGTCCAACCATTCTTAACAGCACAGGTGTTTGTTTATACAGTCATCAAATATTTGATAAGCCTACTATTGCACTTCACTTAAAAGCCTCCATTGGAACAGCTCCAGAATTAACTTACAACTTTTTTTCCCCTTAAATACGAAAGGAACATTTGGATGTTTTCACAGGCATACAGCATGAGTCTGAGATTACATCTAATCTTGTTGTCTGTTCATGCCGTCCTAAACGACAGGACCCAATGTTGCATAAGAATTCAGAAGCTGTGGTTTATACATTTTCTTTTCTCGAGGTCCAATCCGCAAGTTCATCATCTACACTTTTCCTGGACCTTTCCTGAATTACTGTCTATTTCAATGGCACTTTTCCAGTTCCCTGTATGGTGGCCGACAGGTGCAAACGCGCTACAACGACCTTAAACATTTCCATTTGGAGAAACTCGCTTCAGAAAGGATGCAAACATAAAAACACAAATGTGCCAAAAAATAAATGCAAATGAAGAAACATCTTCACCAACTTGACAAAACATGCGCAGGGTTAACTCAAAGAGCTGCATAAACAAAACGCTGCAAATAATAATGAAAAAAAAGAGAATTTGGTGGATTCCCCTCTTCAGACAATGTTCAGCAAAGCCCAAGATGTTCCTGTGCTGTGAGGTTCTCCATGTTAGGTATGGTATGTTCTACACCCCCTGATCTGCGGTTAACATCTCGGTAGCAGCCATTTCAAATTGCATATATTAAACAATATTTACGATCTGAAATCCTGTTGTGAGGGGGTGGATCCCGAGGACTGTCCACACGAGAATAACCACACTTAAATTCATCATAAGTGATGTCTCCCGATTTTCAATATCTGTTAAGAATTGTTTTTGTTTGTGGGCCAGTGTTAAGTGAATTTGAAAGTCAACCAAGTTAAACTAAGCTAAATGTTTCCAGCCTTTATGCTAAGCTATGCTAAACGTTTGCCGTTTGTAGCGTTATTATTACATTAGGGGGGTATAGAGTGGTGAAGTCCCTCCCTTTCCGGTGGACCTCCATGGGACCTTATTTTGGAAAAATCATGTATTGAAGTAAATGAAGAGAGAAAGGTTATCTTTTGATCCCGTTTGAATTGTGCAACGAATTACACATATGTTTGTCAATTTACAAGATAATTTTGCAAGTCAAAAAAAAAAAAAATGTCGTAACACATTTTTTTGTGTGAAGCGCTCAATGAACTACATCTCTGGTCTTGCATACGACACCAACACCAAGATGGCCGTCACGTTAGCACATTTCACCTCTTTCTTTCAGAATGAAGTGAAAAGTATTAAAAGAGGTGAAAATCACTCCAAGTCTGGCCATGTTTAGAACTGTACATACACACAAGGGGAGTTAGTCGGTTCGTAAGAGCCAGCATGCGGGACCGGCTTTACAAGGTTTTGGTGAGTAACACGAGTGTAATGTGTAACGTTAATGTACTCTGGGATTTGTAGTCTTTCTAGTTGCGTATTATTCATAGTCTTATATTTCAACAGTTTTAAGACAAACTGTGACTTTTTTGACATGGAAATGATTTTTTAAGATTGACAAACATCATAGCATGGCACAATTCAAACGGGATCGAAAGATAAGTTTTCTCTCTCCATTGACTTCAATACATAATTTTTCAGAAATAAGGTCCCATGAGGCGGAAGTAGATGGGCGTGACTTCGCCACTCTATCACTCCTCTAGCTTTCCAACAGTAATTCTACCACAAAAAGAATGCACTGAATCAAATTAGCACAAACTAATTGCTGCAGTGAACCTTTTTGGCAATAGTGGAGGAAAATCTCAGATCCTTTATTTAAAGTACTAATACTCTCAAAATACTC